TGAGTGGTCTCAAAACTCAACCCCATAGGCCGTAAGTTAAAACTTTAATATTTTTATCAGAATTTATGAATGTATAGATTGGAAGCCATATGAATTATCTAGAGTGGCAAATCGATCACCAAAACAACCAAATACCAATTATCGGAAAGTTCAGATAAATTTGATAATTATAACATGTGCGCTATGGCTGTAATATTGTGAGTTTTTTTGTTAACTAATTTGTATATACCTTTGTTATTGTCTGGTTAAAACTTTATCTCAAGGTCATACATTACAATATAATGAATTTATATTCGTATTGCAGAATTTTTATTGCCGTAGGTTTTTAAATATCATGTTTTTTTTATTAGTTCCCATTCCAATTGTTACTAATCAAATCAGTAGTTTTATTGTGTGTATCTTATTTTTGGAATTTTCGAATTGTGGTAACTCACTATTCATAATTTTGGATTTCGCTTTTAATAACGTCAATTCGACCGTATTTTTAACGTAATCGTATTTTTAATGTAAGTAAGTTGTTTTAATTTATGTGTAAGAACGCTAATATTAAAACGCATTCAACGATTGAAGGCTAGTTAATTTAATTAATTTATATTTTTTTTCGACATTAAAAAAAAAAATGCAATTAATTAGTTACAATTGAAAAATGAAACCACGAATTTTTCCGTTGGACTATCCTTGTCGCGGAGGCGCAGAGTAAGGTGTAATATCATTACCCTAAAATTGAATAGTGAACAATAGATGGTAATTTAATTATAAAATAAAGAACAATGATGTTTTATCGAACCAAAGATTAAAATATGTACATACAAACTAAAGGCTCGTTTCGTAACATTGTCATAAATTATTAAAATGCTATTTTAGTAAAGTAGTTTTCAGAGTATGTATTATTGTTTTCTTTTTGCGATGGAATGGAGAAGTGTTGTATATTAAGCCACAATTTTCAAATATATCACTAGTTCACCAGCCATTACGTGCTGATTCAGTTGCACGTTTCAGGCACAACGAAAACTCAACCGTCTTCAGTTTCAATATACATTACTGTTTAACAGCGTCATCAGCGAAAAATACAACAGAGACTAGCATTCGGTAAAATTACCAACATATCGTCAAAAATCACGTGAATATCCATATTTTCATTTTAGTATTCGTTTTTAAAAATACTAGAAGAATTAAGCTATAATCACATATAATTCAATACATTTTAGGTAGTGTAATTCGAGTGCTAGGTAATTTTAATTTATTTTTTTTAGATTCGATGCCTCGGGATCTATTGGTTTTACTACGTTGTATGTATTTTATTTTTATTTCTGTCTCAGAATAACTTTTTTACCATTAACTTGCTCCAAAATGTGGACTGTACTACTTTTCTGAAACATAATTTTCTTCCATTGGTGTATTGGAAAGGTAACTTTACGATTTTCCAGTGGGTTTTCGAATAATCATCATTTCTATTATGTTAATACGATTTTTTCAATTGGAGAAATTTTTCTCCAATTGAAAAATGACAAGTGAGTAATTGTAAAGATTTTATTTTTTAATATCATATAGCTTGTGTTTTTTACCATAAATATTGTTCCAATAGAAAAACGTAAAAAAGATATTTTTGTTTAATTTTAAAACTAGTTGGTGATCAGGAAAATCATTTTTTAATTTTCTTCGTTTTTTTTTTCAATAATTGAACAAAACCGAAAAGTATAGTAATAATATTTAATCTAATGTTAAATATTTTTACAAAGATTTTTAAACTATGTACTCGCAATTAAATTAACAATTGAAATAAATACATTAATATAATCAATAGTTAGAGAGATAGTTACTGAGATCAGAGTTAATTATGACAAAACTTAAAAAAGATGGACATAATTAATAAAAGTGTATTTATTGACTGTCGAAATATTCAAAAACTTTTTATTAATATTATTAAACAATCTGGCGTTTAGGTGCTCCAGACACGTCTTTAAAGGCGTTTTTAGAAATCCGCATTTATACCATGGAAACCCCAAGACGGTTTGCTTATTACGTGCTTTTCTAAAATAATATTTTATTGTGTAGCCTGTCAATCATGAACCCATTTTAGGCTCAGTACTCTGAGCTACTTAAGTATTCAGAAGTGCTTCAACACCTCTATATTTACATTATGTAGTTCCAATTCCAAAACGAAAAAAATAGTATTTAAATGCCGTACTAGGAAAAGGAGATTGGTGCAGCAACTGTTATAGGTAGTCAAATACATAATCGTAATTAAAATCGGACTGAGAAGGTATTATAAGAAGTCCATTTTTTGAGTTTTCTCATTTAATGTGAAAACCGGGAAAAAAATATAGGAAAACTCCGATCTTATCGAATGATTACAATAAAATTACGAATAAGTCCCCAGTGCAATTTGTCGTGTTACCTTAGCTATCGAAAAACACTAATAAATAATTATTACGAGTATTTGACGTCATTTAAAATGAGTATTAGGTTTTGCACGAGGTGCGTTTTTTTATATTGTTGTCCACGAGTAGGCTTAATCCACTGTGTTAATTAACCTAACCTTAGCTTAGATCTATAATAGTACCATCTATAATATAATACGATCACCAATTCCTGATCCTCATTACTTGAAGTCGACAGCAGTAACTAATAGTCTTCGTTCAAAAATTTCATGTACAAACAAGCTGGGAAAAAACCGATGAAGGAAAAACAAGATATACGTAAAGATAAACGGAAAAAAACTACTATTGTACCGATTAGACACAATTAACTTGAGAAAAAGTTTAAAGGAATCATTTTACAATTTCGAAAAATAAAAATTTAAAAATGACAATGAATAAAATAAATTTAAGAAACATAATTTGTTTCGATTCGATTAAATACACGTGCAATAAAAAAAAATTAAAATTATTACTAACTTATTGCGAGCGCGTGGTTCTGAGATATTTATTATGTCGTTCAAATAAATAAATATATATGCATTTAGATGGAGGCAGCAAATTCGCAATCGATAAAGAGTGTAGCATGGCAGCCAATCGCAGGTTACGCAGCGATCGCTCTTTTCGCGTTATGGTTCGGACACAGGTGGCTGCTGAATCGAAAAGAACTTTCACACCGTAAAGTATTGACCAGTAAAATGAATGGGCCTAAAGTTTGGCCGATTGTTGGAAGTGCGCTTGAGTTAATCGGGTCGGCCGAAAGTGAGTAGTATAACTAGTAGAATTCGTCATTTAAAAGGAATATGCAATAACCTTAGTTTTGAAAATGTTGCAATGACTGTTTGCCTCTCTTTATTAGAAGAGTATAAAGTAGAACAAAATTGCACTCATACTAAGCAAATATTGAGTGATACTTTTTATAACATATTTTACCGGTATAGCTTTATAAACATTTTAATACATAAATACACAAATATTCAATTATTTAAGTTATATTAATACAGGTTTTAGTAATATGTGTACTATTTCCATTTTTTCCAGTGGTTGTGGATAAAATAAGGAAAATGACATTGGATTATGGGCCAGAACCGTTTAGGTTTTGGATGGGTTCGCATCTTTTAATGTTCATAACACGACCAGAGGATTTGCAAGTATGAACATACTATTTAATAGGAAAAAATCCTTGTAAAAAAACATCGAAAAACCAAGAAAAACGTATGAAAAACGAGAAATAGATATAATATTAAACAAATATTAATAAAGAAAATATATAAAACACGTGTAATTATTTTACCACTATACGATTTATAGATTGTTGGCAAATCAATATCAACCGATATCAAACTTCGCTCAAAACTATATTTTCGGTGGCAATGGTTATTCGATCCATATTGTTATGCATTAAATTCCTTAAATACTATAATTAAATNTCAATCAAGTCCCTTTTGTATCATTCTCAAAGGTTTTCTTTTATACGGCTAAACGTTTTACTAGCGTGATACGTGCATGTTTTAATGAAACTTGCAGTATGGACAAATTTAAGAGATTCCAACTTTACACTAGTATATACTGGCGACGCAAATATGTTTTTATAGCATAAATGACCACTTACATCTAAATCCATATATGATATTAATGTACCTAATAATATTACATTGATACAGTGATATTCGTCCTGTGCATTTTTTTTTATTTTACCTAAGCAAGTATAGTAGACTTAACAGCATTTACGAAAGTAATTATTTAATAAACAACATTTCTGTATTTGTTTTAGATCGTGTTAAATAGTTCCAAAGCCCTGAATAGACCGTGGATTTATGACATGATTTTTGATGTAATGGAAGAAAGTATATTCTTAGCTAAGGGTATATTTTAGTTACAATAATGTACATCTAGAATATTACAATAACATATCATTATTTGAATAATATTACTAGGATAACTTAGTTTAAGACTTAAATCAAGGGTAGAAGTATCTATATTAGAAGTGTAACTTCATCCACATGTAAAATATATAAAATGTATACTTAGTATATCAAATATATCTTGTAATGCATAGATTGATGATCTCTTAAGGCAAAGAAATTACTTTCTCGAAAAATCGGATCCAAATATCTTTTTTAAATATACATTTGTGTCCACCAGTACAGGGATTTAAGTTTAATTTTTGATACATCTCTATCATTTAATGATCATTTAATGTCATCTATGCTAGGTTTTATAAATAAATGATGTATAGGTGGTTTAAATTTAATTGTACTTGTATCGTTGTTATCGGTCAATATTTAATCACAACTCAATTATTTGTTCACCAAACATTCTAGGTTCAATAAAAGCCAAAGTGCTGGTTCCGAATAGATTTGTGAAAATATAGTAAAAGCCGCTTTTACAGAACACTTTGGTAGCTAGGTGAAACGTGTCAACTAACAGATTGTTTCTAATAAACGATTGGTTTTAATTTCCGATTTTCTTAATACACGACTGTGCCGTCCCGAAAAATTTTGTTTCAATAACGCGATTGTATCCGTGATCCTAATTAGCGGCTTCTATTGTAGTTTCTTTCAGATGTGACATTATACGGCAATCGTCCTTCTGTTACCGCCCTTAACTAACCTTTTTAACTCTTTTATCACTCGAAACAAGACGAAGAAGTCTATATTTCTGTTGCATTTTTACATAACTCGATGGAAATATTTATTGTCAAATTAAATTTCGCAATTTCTAGTCGTAGTATTAGACAGTCAAATAGAAGTTATGTGTTATTTCAGTTCATAACATTTAGTTTAAATGCTCCTGTTATTAGATGAATAATACTTGTAAAAAAGTTTTTGATGATCTTCAATTATGTGCAAATATTAGTGTTAATTAAGCATATTTTTATGTTATACTTTCTCTAACTATTAATAGCATAACCGCATTGTATAAACCTATGTATATCTTATATTATCTTATTGTATACTTATAAATTGCATTTTCGTTGGGCTGCTTTCCGTCTAAAATAATAAATAAATTGTATATTGATAGGTAAAAGATGGCGAAATAATCGAAGCATATATAATGCTTTCTTCAACATCAAAACTCTACACAAATATTTCCCAATTTTTCAAGAAAATAATAAATTACTAATCGAGAATTTAAACAAGCAAGTAGTGAAAACGGAGCTGTTCGATGTTTGGGAGTACATCGCTGACACAAATATGGATTCAATATTTCGTAAGATATAGTAGATTATGATGTAATTAATTAAGAATTCCACCAGATTATAATGTGATGTCGATTATTGAGGTTCTTATATAATTTACCAGCCTCAACCAGCCACACGACATTACCTATATAAACTACCACCTAAAAAGTATTATGAGCATGGCGAAGTATGTCTTGGTTTTGGTATGTTGAAGAGGTCATTTTTGATTTTCCAAGTAGTTTTCGAAATAATTGGGAAACTGAAATCAAAAATATAAAAAATCCAAAAGGGTGTAATATATAACCATTGGTTGACGGTTTAATTCATATCCAGTATTACAATATGGGTGCGCCGATGGTTAAAAAAAAATCGTTAAGATTACACGTTAGGAAGTTATACTAATAATAAGGCATATTCCAGTTTCTGATATTTCGTGGCCAAACAGATTAAATTTCTATTGAAAAATTATTTATTTTTAACGACAAACTCATGATGATTACAAGATTACAAGACTGCCTATTCTAATTGATTTTATGCTACATACAGCAACCATAATTTACCTAGTTGTTAGTAGCGTATAGTACATACTAAATACTGTATATTATGATGACGTATGTTTGTGTATACACGAATCAATAATAATTGCTATAACTAGATATTATTTTATACAACTTTTTTAATAATTTAACACATGTCTTAACATTATAGTGAAATAGTAGCTAAACTCAAAAGTGCCTCCCCGTATATACGCCGCTGAATTTTTTCGTGGAATATTTTGTGTATAATTCCAAAAACCTTTAAACTTTACTATGTTTATGTACATCTTAC